AGTGCCGCACAAGCTGTCGCAGCAGGTGCCCCTGTGGTCCGTGGAGGATGTGCAGGAGTGGGTGAAGCAGATCGGCTTCAATGACTACATCGAAAAGTTCAATGAGTCCCAGGTGGACGGAGATCTGCTGCTGAAGCTCAACCAGGATAACCTTCGCGCGGACATTGGGATCGGTAATGGAATCCTGCTGAAGCGTTTCGAACGCGAGTTGCAAAATCTCAAGCGCATGGCCGACTACTCATCCAAGGACACGGCCAAGATGCACCAGTTTCTCTCGGAGATCGGTACTGATTACTGCACCTATACGTATGCCATGTTGAATGCTGGCATCGATAAATGTGCCTTGCCGCACGTCAATGAGGATATGCTGATGACGGAGTGTGGCATCCACAATTCGATTCATCGGTTGCGCATTCTCAACGCCGTCAAGAACCTGGAGAACTCACTGCCCAGCTCGTCGGAGGAGAATATGGCCAAGACACTGGACGTTTTTGTTAGTTACAGGCGTTCCAATGGCTCCCAGCTGGCCAGTCTGCTCAAGGTGCGTATACTTAATGGTTTTCAATTGGGAAATATGCATTAACGAGATCGCATCTTTTACAGGTTCACCTGCAGCTGCGAGGCTTCTCAGTGTTCATCGACGTGGAACGCCTGGAGGCGGGCAAATTTGACAACGGCCTCTTGAACAGTATTCGGCAGGCAAAGAACTTTGTCTTAGTATTAACGCCCGATGCCCTGCACCGCTGCATCAACGACGAGGACTGCAAGGACTGGGTGCATCGCGTGAGTATCTCATCTCGGGGATAACCCCGTCCTGCTAGGAGATACTCATAATGGGGTTCTCTGATCCGCAGGAAATCGTGGCTGCCTTGAACTCGAACTGCAACATCATACCCATCATGGACCAGCACTTCGATTGGCCGGAGGTGGAGCGGCTGCCGGAGGACATGCGCAGTGTGGCGCACTTCAACGGTGTCAGTTGGATCCACGACTACCAGGATGCCTGCATCGATAAGCTCGAAAGGTACATTAAGCGACGCATTTAGACCTGGATTAGCCTAGGACTAGGACGATGGATAACTCCATTACCGATAACCATAAGATAACTCAAAACCTAAAACTTAAACGATTCCCATTCTTCTGATGCGGCAGATTTTTGCGCGGCGAAAAGAATATCGATCGCATTGCGGCGATGGTGCCCGGCACCCCCGGTTCGGTCTCATACCAAAGAATGCACAGCAACGACTCCGACTACCAGAGCGGAGGAGCAGGCGGAGGATCGGGAGCAGGAACTGGAGGTGGTGGCGGCGCAGGCAGTGTGGTGGATGGCCTAATGGCGGCGGCCAATGGCAGCGGACAAGGTGGGCCAACGAGTACTACAACTACTACTACTTCTACTCCCAACTCGAACTCAAATCCGAGCTCAAGCTCTAGCCAGAGTCCCCCAGCGGCTCCAGCGTAGAGTGAGCACAGTTAAGCTAAAGATTTACAGAGCTAGCCAACTCGAATATGTTTTAGGCTTAAGCAGAGATCCTCAAGTCACACTCTCTAGTACAACTCTCTATATCTCTCTCTCTATCCCATACACTCACTTACTCACTCACCCACCAACAAAAACCAGCCAACAAAACCAACCCATTACTACTCCATTACTCTTTACTCTTACCAATTAATAATTGATTTAATTCTGATTGCCACACACTCAAAATCGCTTGAAACGCCGTCTCGCGCGCAGCTAATCACCAGGCAAATAGGTACCGCCAATCCCCCTCGCCGGCCCGCCAAAGGGGCAGCACCTCGCAGCTGAGTGGTTATTCCCGGGCGCCCTCGAAACGCTCCCAGATCCTGACCCCCTACCGCACCCAGCAGGCGGCCCTGCTCCACAAATCCGGAGCGGGTTCTGCGTCCATGCAGAACATGACGCCGCTGGCGTATCTGCCGCCCAGGAGAAGTTCGGCCGCGGGATTGGGTCATGGATCTGGTTCCGGCATGGGCAGTGGCTATCGATCGCACAGCGTGGATGGGTTCCTGGATCAGGCGGGCTCAACTCCTGACCAAAGGATAGCGGCAGCAGCGGCCAAGGTGACAGCGGGGAGCACAGCTCTAACGAATGCCAGCTCCACGAGCACCCTGCAACCCGAAGAAGAGGAGGCGGAAGTTCCCCTCAGTGATTCGGTGACCCGGCGGGACAAGCACACCCTGTCTCCGCCGGCGAATGCCCAGCAGCACAGAAAGTCCCGGAGTCTCGACCACATCCTCAGCAAACAGACCCTAGCGGAATTGCTGCCACCGAGTATCGAGCTTGCGGATGGAACGCAAAGCATGCAAAATCTGGCCATTCCAATGACCCCGCAGCCCCAACGAAGGGACACCAGCTCCTCCTCGAAATCGCCCACACCCGAACGACCCCCACAGCCCGCGAGGGAAAGGGTAAGGGAACGCCAGAGTCCCGAGGGTGTGAGTGCGACGGAAAGCGAGCGGGAGGATCAGCCGGATGAGTGTCTGCGACATGGAAACCAACAAAGGGCCTCGGCCTCGGTTCATCGCGGAGCCAGTTTGACCAGCAACAAGACCTCCAACTCATCGCTGGGCTCCAACTACAGTGCCGGGGGAAACAACAAGACGATCTTCAATCGAACGATGAAGAAGGTCCGCTCGCTGATGAAAAAGTAAGCCATACCGAGAAGACGAAGGGACGAGGAGGACCAGGACTCGATGTCCCCACTCGTCGCTCGCTGTCTGCCCATATCAATTTTAGACAACTTTTCACGAACTAATTTCTTAGCTTGTTATTTAAATACCAACTTTTTAAAATTTTATAAAATTGGTTTAATTTAAATTCTTAGTTAAAAATTAAATTGTAATTCATAAGATTATCACTTAGGAGTTATTCGCTTTTAAATAAGAAATCAGATCGTGAAAAGGTGGCTCTAGTTACTCGCAACTCGCCCACTAAGTGCCTGTTAACCCGTTAATCGCCACTCGCTGCATTTGTGCCATCTAAAAAGAATCTCATCCGATCACTCTCTCATTCCCCCACTACCCTGGGGTCCCCTCACAACCCCTCTACCTCTACTTGCTGCCTCTCTACTTCTCTTTCTCTGGTGTTGGTACTCGCTCGCTATACTTACTCGCCACTCGTTGACTCAACTCGTTACGCAAAGCATCCACTAAAAATAGCCTGCGTTGCCCAAATAAAAAAAAATTTACGAACGCCCCTTCCTCCACTTTCTCTCTCTACAAACTCTATTTGCCTTGTGATTAGTTGTTGATTTTGATAATTATTTTATTTAAATGAGTAAGCGAATTTAAACTGCAAAAACTAATTTATGAAAAGAAAAAAACACAATTAACGACTGCATAAATACGAAATCTAATTTATAGAACCACAAAACAAAAAACCAACTAATTTTAAACACTACAAGAAACAAAAAATACATTGGAAAACGAAAACAAATAAACACCCTATATTTAATATGCTATTTATAATTAATATGTTTAAAAATTTGTACATTTCTCGCGTATGCAATTTGTTCTTGTAACCGTCCGCAAACGTAAATTAGAAATTGCAAAAATTTGAAATTAACCCATGTGGCTTAAAACGAAAATATTTAAGTGATATTTAAACTACGTATAATCGAAATTTTATTAATGCAAAATTTTTACAACAAAACATGCTGTACAAACCTAATTTTTAGCGCAGGAGTTTTTAAGGCATACTTTTATTGATTTTTGCAATATATATTTAATATTTAAATAGTGCCTAAAATTGAAAAAAAACGAAAAACGAAAAAGGAAAACGACAGAAATAAAATGTGACTTAATTAAAACGAAGTGTGTATTATTGGCCCTTTTGAAGCCCTTTTCCCCTGCTTATCAGTACATACCATACCATCAATCGCATGTCCACATCCCGATTTGTAACGTTTTTTGTTATGTTCTTTTGCGTTCAGTATTTGAATTTGTGTTTGTGCCTCTAATGGAATTCGATATGTTTTATTTGTATATATTTTATCACTTTCTTTTCTTCCCTCTCTCTTGTCTTTCTCCATATCTGCTGGACTTTTTGTAGACCATAAAAGCGAAATTGGCTACCGCAATCGCAATCCGTTGTAACTGTTGTTATCGTTGTGCCTGTTGTACTGCACCCTGCCCACAAAAGCACCCACCCTCCAAATCGAATCGAATTCGAAAAACCCATCATCGCACCCGTGATCAATACCGATGCCCTCTCAGCATCCGCTGTCTCGACAACCAACATTCATTGTTATTTATTGCAAAACAACCAACAAACAAAAATGAAAGAAAAAAACAATCAAACAAAGCGAATAGCGATACCAATAAACATGTATATAAATGCATAAATCGAAAAAGTCCTGTCAAACATTTATTTAATTTGTATTTCCCACATCCCTACTCCCCCTCGAAACAGCAACGAACTGGAGGACGAAGAACTGTCGGGCATTATTTTGTCCAAGGCCACATCCCCGAACGCGGGGCGCATGATATTTTGGTAGTGGAGCACCCAACATCCACACTTCCCCACACTCACAAACTGATCGAATTTTTGTAAATATTAAAAAAAAAAAAACGAATTAAAGCACAATAAAAACGAATCAATTGTAATACTTTATAATTTTTGAAACTCGGATTTTTATGAATTTCCCTTTACATTATGGTAGCAGAAAACGTTTGATTTTAAAGAATAAATCAAAAACGTTTTAAAATAACCTTTTTTAAACTTTCAGCTAATATTTCTTAACAATCTAGAATGAAATAAGTTCACCGAGATTTAAAAGTACATCTTGTACAAAAGCTTTAAATAACAATAACTATTTAAATTAATTCAAAAATTTGAATAATGGGTTGTAAATTCATACTCCTGGAAAAAGTCCCTTACAATATAGCTGCCCCTTACCAGCCTTAAAAATATAAGGGCTATCGAACTAGTCGTGTTCTTTTCACTCAACCCTGAAAAGTAATGTGTTGAAGTAGTCGCTCCTATTTCCATTCACTTTTGTGACTCCATCAAAACACGTGAGACGTCTGGGATAGTTCGTTTGGCTCATTTTTATTTTAATATTTCGGACATACATTTGTTCACAACGCATTTTCGAATCTAAAAAGGGGTAGAAACATATAGAGATGAACGACACAAAGGCGGGCAAGTTGTCCCTGGATCCGTGCGACGGTATCGTCTTCGAGGGACCCTTCGACCGTTCCGTGTGCAAGAAGCTGGTCATCAGGAATCCTAGCGATTCCCAGAGGGTTGCCTTCAAGATGAAGACCACCACCCCGAAATTGTTCTTCGTACGGCCAAACATCGGAATTTTGGAGCCCGGGGAAAAGGTCAACGTGGACATCTTTATGCAGCCGCTACTCCAGGAGCCTCCACAGAAGCGCCACAAGTTCCTCCTATTGGCGGCCGAGGCAACAGGCGATATGAGCGACATGCAGCAGTTCTGGAAGTTGCAACGGCCCGAGGACGTCTGGGACGCCAAGATCAAATGTGAACTGATCATGTCCAAGGAGGAGCAGTTCCGCCAGGCGGGAGGAGGAGCCACATCCGGCTTGGAAGCTGAGGACCAGTTCGATGCCCAGGAGGATAGCGAGCCGGTGACCAAGTTGCTCAAGCAAGTCAGCATGCTAGAGGAAGAGCGTCTGGTCCTCAAGGAGGAGATTGAAGCCTTGCGCGAACAGACGATCGGAGGAGCTCATCCTGGACAGGGAATGATCCGCAGTCCGCGGCAAGGACGCAGCACTTTCTTCTACTTGGCCGCCTGTATATTCACCATCTTGGCCGCCATCGTAGGCGCCTTTTATGGGAAGAATTATTTGAAGAACAATTAATTTCTTATCTCGGCATATTTAGAACAAAGCCTGTGATTTGGCACAAAATTGTACCAAAATTTGTTGTCAATTAAAGCAAATTATAATTAAGGTTTTCTGATTGCCCATTGTGTTTCATATATGTACCTATTTACTTTGCGGTTTTTAAGTTGAATAGAACTTATAGTGAAAATGAGCTAGGGTTGTTACAACTTTATTTAAGATTGAATTCAAGTTTTTTTTTTTAAATTTTAAGCGCACAGTTTATTTTTGCATATTTATTAAATTCTTAAGTCCAAACTTCGCAATCTATTTAATAGATTCTAAAAGTTTACTACACATTTACAAAAACAGCATAAAAAAGGAATTTAAAATCTTGATATTTAAATTAACGAAACAAAAAAGTATTTGGCAGGCTTAATCCAATTACATCGTTCCGATGCACAGAAAAATACGTCAAAACAATATGTACTTTTAGTGCAAAAGCTGAATTTCAGCCGCTTGAGCTTGTTAAACTGACAAATCGTAGGGAACAGCTTCAAAAATTTAAAATAGTGTTTTATTTTCCCGCGAAGACCTGACCACCTGTCTCAGCCAGTGTTGTGAAACGAGGGTGGCCACCAAGAGCTTGGCAACTCTGCAAATGTGCGAATGGGAATCGAAAAATACAGCACGTATTCTACTACGAAAATAAATAAATAAACACGGATATTAGGAGACGGGCAGGATAGAATGTCTGCGCGAATGCTGAAGAAGCTGCAGGGCGACGCTGACAAGCTGGCGCCGCCACCGGAGGACGAGGATTGCGAGGAGCTGTCGGACAATGATGAACTGGAGGACAGCGACATGCGTCGCGACCGCAAGTCGCACCTGAATCCATTCGATTTGGTAGGCCACTAATCTTAATCGCCACCTCATCACCCATCCAACCACGTAATTCCCAACTCCTCATCTTTGTCAGCTCAATCAACCCGGTCTGAGTCTCTCCGAAAGCGAATTCAAGGAGGACGACAATGAAACGGAGCACCCCTCAGCCGCCCTGCCGAATTCCACTGCCACTGCGGCCAAGAAGAAGAAAAAGAAGCGCAAGAAGAAGGCCAAGTCCAGTGGCAACCACATCAGCAGCGAGGACAACGAGCGCCAGGACAAGTACTTCGAGAAGGTGGATCCGCTCCTTGGCAAGGTCTACGATGCGGTGCCCAGGCAATCGGCGAAACAGCTTGCTTCCGCCGCCGCCGCCGGAAGCTCTGCCACCAAGAAGCTTTTGGCCGTGGAGCTGCGACACCTGAATTCGCAGAACGAGATGCGACGCACCTTCGGCAAGAGAGTGGTCAAAGTGGAGTAAGTTTGGTTTTTGGAAAGCCCCAGTTAAAAGGAACAATTTTTTAAGAAGACTTGGTAATCTGTTCCATTTACACGGCACACTTTTCCATTTCGAACTTAGAATAACCAAGCCAGAACATATACATTGTCTATTTCATCATATTACGATAATCAACAAATCACAATCAATATAATATATATTTTAGTAAGAACTTTTATAAGTGGTTGTAAACAATGAGTAGTGATCATAGATAATTCTGTAATTAGAGTATTTGGCTTTTTAAGTTTACATATTGACTTTAATGTATTTTACCTAAGAAATTCAATCTCCAACTAATCTCAAACCATTAATGTACTCTATTTAAGAACAAAGCGGGGCAGACAGAAGCCCACGTTAAAGTCGACCTACATGGTGACTGCCAAGGAATCGTGGCCGGCGCTGACCAAGAACACCATCACCATGAAGTTGCTGCCCGCCCCCGACTCGCCATCTGTGTCCTCCAAATCCATCACGGAAAGTGGGGCCGAAATCCAGTGGTTCGCCTTTGAGCACAGTCAGTACTACCAGGGAGTGCAGCACATGTTTCTGTCCGCCCTCGAGCGCATTGACTCGGAATTCCTGATTACACTGATCAAACGATGCCCCTACCATGTGGACTCCCTGGTGCAGCTGAGCGAGGTGTGCAAGATGACGGAAGACTTCGCCCTGGCCTCCGAGCTGTTAGAGCGCGCCCTACTCCTTCTGGAATCGTCGCTGCACATCAACTTCAGTCTGACATCGGGCAACTGCCGATTGGACTACCGCCGCCAGGAGAATCGATCCTTCTACATCGTGCTATTCAAGCACGCCCAGTACCTGGAAGAGCGCGCCTGCAGCCGCACGGCCTTCGAGATTTCCAAACTGGTGCTTAGTCTGCAGCCGGACATGGACCCGCTTGCCATGATATTGGTCATTGACTACTATGCTCTGCGCAGCAAGCAGTTTGGTTGGCTAGTGGAGTTCTACGAGGAGTACAATGCCGCCAGGAACCTCAATCAGCTGCCCAACATGGCCTACTCGTACGCTTTGGCTCTGCACACACTCTATGGCGCCTGTGAGCGCTCCAACCAAGCGCTTCAGTACGCCCTGCTCATGTTTCCGGGTGTGCTGCGTCCTTTACTGGACGAGATGTCCGTGCAGACCGATAAACGGGTGCTGGCCTCTTCGTACTTCTTTGCGGATGTGTCGGGCAAGTAAGTAGAGCCTTATCTCCTGCGATAATTAGTGGAATTTAATGCCTTATCTTGCCCACCAGTCAATCGCCTGCCCTGCACCAGCTAGTGTGCCTGTATGTGTGCCGTGCCCGAGTCGTTTGGCGTCAGAATGAGGTGCTACCATGGTTGGAATCCAACGTGAATATAGTGCTAGATCGCATTGACAGTAAGGATCCCCTGGTCGACGAATACAAGGAGAAACGATCGCTGCGGTATGGTGGAACTCCACCAAAGCCAATCCTGCGGCACGTAATACTTTCTGATTACAAGGAAAAGGTACCTCTGGCCGTCTTCGTGTCCAAGGAAAAGCAAGCCATTATGACCTATGACCCACTGCCGCCACCGAACAGCGTCAACTGCTACCAGCGGTAGGTCTATTTTATTTAAAGTTTATTTACCTTTATAATTAGAGAACTAATAAGCTGAGAACTGCAAATGCAACCCATTTAATTTCGGTTTTGTAGTTTGTGATTTAGTTTTCTGCACTAAATGTTATACATATGCAGGTACCTCAAAATGTCTGTGATTTTATTTTGGTTAACCTTTTAAGTTGACCTGAATGCCTGCTCTTGCAGGATGATAGTTTAATATAGACTGCAGAATTTATTTCTGACGACCATTTCTTTGCAGAAAATCTTCGTCAAGTAGCAGCCCCACAACGAACACGAACAATTCCGTTTCAATGTTTTTCCAATCGCTCTTGCCTTCGTTCAACATCAACAACCTGGCTCAAGCTGCTCAGCCCCAGGAAGCAGGAGAAGCACCACTCGCAGGAGCAGCAGCAGCAGCAGCAGCTATACCTGCTAACTTTGAAGCGGGCATTGAAGCAGGAGCTGTCGGAGTCGCAGGAGCCAACGGAGAAACAGAAGGTTCGTGTGAGCAATAAAATTATTACAAATTATCTTAGAATTATCGATTGCGTCGTTTCTGTATCGTCCCAGAAAATGGCTCATAAGATGTTATGTTTTGGCTCTATTTCATTCATGGCCAAAAAATGTTTTTGTTTTTTCCCAAAATTCAATTGATTACAATGAACATTTAAAACGTACAAACATTTTAATTTACTTTTCTTGCCTACTGGCTTTAAATACTCAATAAAAATTGTTTGGTGTTATTCCAAATTAATTTTTTTGATTTCGTTTTTTCTGAAATTCCAAGAAGTATCACTTTCGGATATCCTATTTACAAAACTCCCTCGAAAATATTGCAGAAGCAGGACTGCAGCAATCGCTGACCCTTATGATGGATGCCATGCGGGACTTCCTCCAGAATTTCCGGATCGCCGAGCACTTGCGCTCACCGGAAACGGCGGCGGCGCAATCTTCGAGCAGCAACGACGAGGAGGAGGGCTCCTCCGACTACGTTGATTAGTCAATTTGTCAATTACGTGAATCGTAACAAAGTTTATCGGATTTGGGGCTTGAAACTTGTCTTTACGGAAACCACCTTTTGCTATTCCCTCAGCTAAGCGACACCGTCACAAAATTAAATAAATATATAATATATATATATATTAGAGCAATTTGAACACATACAGAACATATGAACTTATATGCATTGAATAAAATTTTCCAGTACAAGCTTTAGATCAAAAGCGACGACCGTGTTGAGCTTAAAGATTGTTTTATTGATTTATTTAATGCCTTTTCAATTACGCTTATCAATATAACAAACAGATTTCTCATCAATATTTCTTATCGTTTTTCTTTTTTGTTCATTCAGTTTTCTGCGGTTTCCCTTCTTGTCTCTCTTATAAACCTTTTTTGCAGTTATTGCAATTATAAATATTACTATGACAAGTAGGGGATTTCCATATATAATTGTGTATAGAGCTGGGACTTCCAAGAGCATAGTTTGGTGTGACTGTGTGTGATCGTGTTTGAGTATAGTATAAAAGTCGACTTCTAGAAATAATGCACCTTAATTAGCGGGTTTTAACTGGCAGACATCAGAGTTGTTGATTTAAAGTTAGCCTAACAGGACTACACGAAATTAAAGAGAACGAAAATGATTTACACAGAGTTAAGAGCTTAACACATATATAGAAAAGAATCAATACTAATACTTTAGCGTGGAATACATAATCGCAATATATATAGATGAAGAACAAATCAAATTTAAAATTGGAAAATAAATCAATAATAACTGCTGCTGGCCGATTGGATCGGTTCAATTATGTCATGGTGCCGAAGACGGGATTGTGACGGCAAATGCTGGGGCCATACTCCTCGTAGGCAGCCTTTGTGTGACACACCTGATAGAACTCGGGCTGGAAAATGCAAGACAATAGAAATAATTACGATATCCGATACAATAAATCACTACAACTCACCGTAGAGGCCAACATGCTTCCTCCAAACCACACGGCGTACCGCTGCATGTGGTGCGTAATCACCTGAACATCAATTGGTTTTGGCTGGAACAAAAATCATGATCAATGTTAGAGTTAACTGCATTAACTGCTGCGATTGCACCCACCTTAATGCGTCCCTCGGACAAATTCTCGCTGATCCGGAGGCGCGTGTCCACCGATCGCTTGATATCTCTCTGCAACCTCCTGCCAAAGTCCTTGAACATCGTGGATCCACCACTTAGGACAATATTATTGTACAGCGGGCGCCGCACATCGATAGGGCAGTTCTGGATAACGTTATCCACGATCTCCGACAGCGGAATGGTAAAGTCGGGGTTTGAGAACTCCGGATGGAAGAAGATCTCGGGTCCCAGGAAGCGTTCGTAGCCCACATCCACGCTGAAAGGCGCCTTGGTCACCGTGTTGACACCCGTAAAGTTCCGAATCCACTTGCCGGGCTCCGTGTCGTACTTGGCAAATTCTTTGGCGATATCCGGACAGATGTAGCAGTGCTTCTCCTTGATCGCTTTGGCAGTCTCGAGGCTCTGTTCCGGTGGAATACCGACTTCTCGTTCACGCAGAAGGCTCTGAATGAACGAGGTGATGTTGCGGCCGGCAATGGGGATGTGCTTGATGCAGGATCCAATCACGTAGCCCTCAGCCTGAAAAAGAAAATCAAGGTAAATAATTGTATTTAATATACAAGGGATATAAGTAAGTCCCGTGGATGTTGATGTTACTTAGTCACAATGCCTAAATGGCTTTTCAAATATTAACGTTAAAACAAATCACTCGCGTTTTTAAAATTCGTTTCATCTTGGCAAAAATAAATCGTGTGACGGAACTTTTTCTTATCGTATAACAAATGCATATACAAATTCTCGAAACGTTTTTTTTTCAGATATCACTATAAAAGCTATTTAATTATTTCGGTTATTAATCCGGTTTTTAAATATTTTTAATTTTTAATATAATTTTCTGGTTAAAAAAAAAATACTTCATTTGAGTATTTTTCTTCTGCATAGATTGTTTTTGTTTTGAATTCGTTATTTGGTTCCCCCCAAATAATTTCCCCTCTCCGGGTAGCCACTGTACCCACTACAAACACAACTCTACCGATAAGATATGAACTGTGCTATTTACCACGGGAATGACGTGCGTCACTCCATCGCCGCTGTCCACCACAATGCCCGTTAGGGTGCGCTCCTCGGCGGATCGGGAAGCCCAACTGGCGGCAAGGGCGAGCACCGCCTGGACGGCGATGTAGAGACCAGGAACGTTAAACGTTTCGAACATTATCTCCGCCGTATACTCCCGATTCTCTGGAGTATTTAGGGGCGGCTCGGTCAGCAGGAAGTAGTGATCCTCGGGTTCGGCACGCAGATACTTGAAGATGCACTGCTCCAGGAAGCGCTCCATCAAGTCCCAGTCCTCCACTAGACCGTGACGCACCGGATACTAAAGAAAAAGTAGATAAAAGTTAAGTGGCTGGTTGGTACCGGGCGGATTAGGAGCCTACTTTGATGGAGTAGCCGGTGGCATCAAAGGCCTCATCCCCAATGAAGAAGTCCAGGTCCTCTATGCCTTTTGTGATGCGCCTTGTGTTGGTATCGCCCACCCTGGCCGACTCCTTGATTGCAATTGCCGATGGAATGATGAACTGGGGCTCCTTATTCCCGGCGAAGCCTAGTTTGGAGTAGCTGCAAAGGCACAACAAAGAGCGCATTAGTCAGACGACCTCTTTTCGGCCAACCGGGGATTGGAGACCCCCGCGGGCAATCGAAACTAAAAACTCACCCGGTGCCCACATCGATTACGCATGCCGGTAGCCTGCCTGCCATGGTCGCTGCTCGTCCTTTTGCCTTGCTGCTTGTTCAAGCTCTTGAGTTGCGATCCTCGCTCGCCTTTGACACCGATTTCAGATCGTTCCTGCCGCAGATAAACACCGATTTTCTATATATTTTCAACCACACCTCCGCCAACGATGTGTCACTTTGCTCTTCGTCACACACACATTCGCGTGTTCACGTATGAGCAGCTGCCAGGGCTGCAAAATCGATAGGCAGTGCAGCCTGATTGACGATTAATCGCCCATTTTTTGAATATTATATTCTGTTTGGACAGCCGCGCATCTGAATAAATGGGGCAAATAATTGTTAAATAATATTATATATTTTTTGCAATTCAAAAAACGTCCTTAACACAAATAACCTTAATTGTTAAACAGATTAAAGATTTTTAGTATATACTTATTTTCAAAGGAAAACACGCGGCTGCTGACCGCACAGCCTTGAGCTTGGAATTTCGATAACACGCTTTTGAAAAACATCGATGATCTCAGTCTTTTGATGAAAATATCTCAGAGCGTCGGTACGATTTGTCAATTTGGTGTTAAATATTTGTTTCCTAACCGAATTCCTGTCCTTATTACAGATAAGTAAACCCGAATAAAAAAAGCAACAAAATGCCCAGCATCAAGTTACAAACGTCGGATGAGAAAATCTTCGATATTGACATCGAGGTTGCCAAACGCTTCGGACTGATTCAAACCATGTTGAATTGCTGTGACGAGAAAAGTGATGAGAATGACATTGTGCAGCTGCCCAACGTAAAATCTACGACCTTCGAAAAGGTATTGAGCTGGGCAAAACAGCACAAGGACGATTTGAAGACAACGGAAGATGACGAGTGCAACGAGGATAGCACGAAGGAAATTAGCTCTTGGGATGCCAAATTCCTGGAAGTCGACAACGGGACTTTGTTCGAGATCATTCTCGCTGCCAATTATCTAGAAATCCCGGAACTGTTGCAGCTTACATGCAAGGCGGTGGCTAACTCGATCAAGGGCAAGTCTCCGGATGATATACGCAAATTCTTCAACATCAAGCAAGGCTCTTCGATCGCCACACATAATATGCCGGATGCAGAGGAAAAACAGGGCCTTATTTAGTTACTATTCTCAACTCATTTACATTTTTTGTATTGGTTTATAATCTTTCGTAAACTCTGAAGTTTTTAATTTGATCCGGGGCAAGCGTACTTCGCATTTAATCTCATGTATATATGCCAAAGAACACATTGATTAATATATTAATAAATATGAACTCCATCAATTGTTATATGTTTACAAATTGAAAAATCCAATTTTTTGCGGAGGAATTATTAAAACTCGTGAAAAAAGTTCCTACTTAACGAGCTTAGCTTCGCCCCAATTACATATCAGCTCAAAAGGTCTAATCACGTTTTGCGACTGAGTCACTGGCCAGATTTTCCCACCCAAAAACTCAACAAGATAAAACTTTTCCCCCGCATTCACTTGCTAAGTCCACAATTCATCTCACCAAATAGTCACGAAATGGCCGCCGTGGAGAATGCTGAGCCCCGCACGGAGCTGCAGGAACTGCAGTTCAAGTCCGGCCAGGTGGCAAATGAATCCCTGGAGAGCACGCGTCGGATGCTCAGCCTGATGGACGAAAGCCAGGAGGCGGCCGTTTGTACCCTGGTGGCCCTGGACCACCAGGGTGGGCAGCTGGACCGGATTGAGGAGGGCATGGACCAGATCAACGCGAACATGCGGAAGGCGGAGAAGAATCTTAGTGGCATGGAGAAGTTCTGCGGCATCTGCGTGCTGCCCTGGAAGAAGGTGAACACCAAGAGCGACAAAGAGAACGCCTGGAAGGCCATCGATTATGGTAAGATCGTGGCCATCCATCCGCAGCGGAGTCCTCCAGCGCAGACCGGCTATGTGACCAGGATTACGAACGTTGCACGCGAGGACGAGATGGACAATAACCTTAGGCAGGTCAACTCCATGTTGGGTAACCTGCGCAACTTGGCCCTTGATATGAGCTCCGAGCTGGAGAATCAGAACAAGCAGGTGAACCGCATCAACGCCAAGGGCGATGACAACAACATTCGCATGGACGGCGCCACCAAGCGCGTCAAGAACCTGCTCAAGAGTTAAATATGCACAAAGGACAACATTCGTTTGATATCTGTGCCGCCGCCAACGAATTAAAAAAATAAAAAAAAATGATATAGATTTAATTATAATGCTTTAATTGAATATGCCCACCGTTCATTTAATTTTTTGTTGTATTGATTTATAAGCCTTTGTAAACTCTGAAGTATTTAATTTGATCCGCTGCAAGCGTACTTCGCATTTAATTTCATGGCGCACAAACACTTCATATATGGTATGTATGAATGCCAAAGAACACATTGATTAATACATTAATAAATATGAACTCCATAAATTATGTTTAAAAACTGGCATTGTGCTATTATTTATTATTAAAACTTGTGAAATAAGTTCCTACTTAACGAGCATAGCCTCACCCTAATTACATACCAGATTAAAAGATGTTATCACTATTGGCGACTGAGTCACTGGAGATAAAAAGACAACAAGATAAACGTCTTCCCTTGCATTTACTTGCTAAGTGCAGTCATCTCACCAAATAGTCTAAAAATGGGCAACCTGGAGAGTGCTGAGGCCGGCACGGAGCTGCAAGAACTGCAGTTCAAGTCCGGCCAGTTGACAAATAAACCCCTGGAGAGCACGCGTCGGATGCTCAGCCTGATGGACGAAAGCCAGGAGGCGGCCGTTCGTACCCTGGTGGCCCTGGACCACTAGACCATGGGTGAGCTGCTGGACCGAATTGAGGAGCGTATGGACCAGATCAACGCGGACTTGGAGAAGAAGGCGGAGGCGGAGAAGAATCTAAGTGGCATGGAGAAGTGCTGCGGCATTTGCGTGCTGCCCTGGAAGAAGGAGAACATCAAGAGCGACAAAGAGAACGCCTGGATGTCCAAAGATGATGACAAGATCGTGGCCAGCCATCCGCAGCTTGTTGTCAACGAGCGGGAGTGCGGCGGAATGGGTCCTTCACCGCAGACCGGCTATATGGCCAGGATTACGAACGATGCACGCGAGGTCGAGTTGGACGATAACCTGGGGCAGATGAATTCGTTGCTGAGTAACATGCGCAACATCGCCCTGGATATGGACTCCGAGCTGGACAACCAGAAGGAGCGATTGGACCGTATCAACGCCAAGGGTGATCCCAACAACATTCGCAAGGACGGCGTCACCAAGCCCGTCAACAACCTGCTCAAGAGTTAAATATGCACAAAGGACAATATTGAAATTTATGGATTTATGATGCAAAATTACTGTTACTTTTACAAGCAGACATTATTTAAAAGAGTTTATTAAAGACTTTGAACATTAACTAGAAAAAGTGCTCTAACTTTTGTACATGAAAAGGAGCTTTGCACAGAGTATAGGAAATTGCACGATCGGATATTTACTGGAAATATTTCTGCAGAGCACCGGTTTCGAACATTCGTTTGATATCTGTGCCGCCGCCTACGAATTTGCCGTCAATAAAGACGCGGGGAACCTAAAATATAAAAAAATTATATAGATATAATTAAAATGCTTTAATTAAATAAGCCCACCGTTCTGGCCCCTGTAATTTCGCCCAGAACCGCCTGAATCTCATTGCCATCGGGATTTCCATCGAGCTCTATTATGTGAGCCTCCACATTGAGTTTTCGGAAGGGCTGGAAGATAAAGATGTAATCGTCTAGTTTACGGACTTTTGAAGGTTTCGACACTCACTTCTTTAGCCATCGTGCAATAGGGGCAATATGATTTACTAAATATCACCACTTTATTGCTGGTAATTGTGTTTTCCACAAATTTCGCTTGCTTGGTAGACATATCGACTATTGGTGACTTCAAAGCGGATCCAACTGCTCCCATAAGCTCGAAGTCCAGGAAAGGGTACGGAAACTTCGGGGGCGATGCGGGGTATAGCAAAAGCTGCGACAGGTGTAAGCTGCGGGAATTATCTCTTATTTTATTGGATTTTTTTATTAATCAGATGTTGTGGCTGTCGCCAGAGTTGTCACCCCGCTAAATTATGTACCTTCGCCTTATTATAAACATTTTTGTTTGGTTTTTCTAATATATTCATAAAAATACAAGGCATCCGTTGGTAGGTGTGTACAATTAAGACTATTAAATGAACTCTAATAAACAATAAAGCTCAGTAAAAATTGATGTCAAAAATATCTCGTGGCGTTGCCACATCAACACATTTTGTTACTTGTAAATAGTAGAGGGATTCGTAAAACTTCATTTTGATTTCAATACAATTTCTAAGATATAACAAATCTCTATCTTTTGCATATATCTGCATCAACTTTGTTCTTGCTTTAAGTTTAAATGTGCTAAAATCAACGAAATGCTTTCGACGAACGCTGACTTAAATCAAATCTAAATCAGTTTCTGGAATATCCTAATTAAATATTTTAACAAATTAAACTGCATATTGCACTTCAAGGCACAAACTGGAGACTGGGCTGTGAGCCATTTAACCATTCAGAAACTGCTCCAGGGCATCCGCATCCCTGCCCTCCATTTCATTGGCTTCCAGAACCACTTCCTCCAAAGCTAACCTGTTGCTGTTGGTTTGAATTTCTACAAAAAGTAATGCTTTAGTTTAAGGTATTGATGGGTTTTATGCTTTCAGATTTACTTGTCAGCTGGCCGTGCTGTTTGTACTCCTCCATATCGCCACGGAAGGCATCATCGAAGACAGCCTGTCGCTCCCTCTGCAGTTTCAATAGCTTCTGCTCCTGATCTTGGATTTTGGATTGGTGTTTGGAGGCCACTTGCTGGCGATACTGCTCCAATTCGTTGAGCTTCCGTTGCTTGTGCCGGGAAAGTTGGAACTGCTGCTCAAGGATGAACTCCTGGAGTTCGCATTCCTCGCACAGGTCCTCCAGTTTCTCCAGCTCAACCTCAAGTTCCTGGCCCATTTGCTCGAGGGACTGCAGGATCTTTAAGCTGGCTTGCAGTTGGACAACCAACGTTGGAATCCCCAACAGACTGCTGTTCAGTTCACTGACGATCCTGCGCTGATTGCTTGCCTTTTGCTGGACACCGGAAATTTGAGTGGCAATCTCTGCGGCCTTATCCGCATTCTCCTCATTGGCCCCGTGGATCTGCTGCCAATCGTCCTCGTATTTGGCCAGCAAACTGCAACCCGCTGCCACATTTAGATGGCTGGGCACACCATCCGTTAGCTGGAAGGGAGCACTTAGGGAGAGATTACTGCTCCTGCTGGACGACAGACTCTCGTTGAGACCCAGTGGCGAGGTGGGGGTCGTAAGCCCACTGGCTTGGCTGCTCCCCGAGTTTCCGGAACTGACACGCTGGCGATATTGCTGCTGCAGGCTCTCCGATATCACCAGGCCCTCCTGAATCGCACTACTCAGCTTCTTTTTCAGGTTCCCAAACATCCTGTGGCCACGAATTTCTATTTTTTTAGCTGCACAATTTCTAATCGACTCTTTGCTGGCGTTTTCATTCGAAATTAAGTGGTAAATAAAGAATCAGCTGTTTGGGCAGGTGGAGAGAGAGAGAGAGTGGGAAAAATCGGCCAACGGGAGACAGAGCAACAGTTTGACACCGTACAATTGAGGCATGTTTGTTTTGGGATGACGTAAGAGCCATTTATAATATATTTATAATATAATCGAGAAATACAACTTACAAAGGGATTATTTTTTTGGGGGTTAGAAAAAATTTTGAATGAATGAATGCAAAATACAAACATTATTTATAATATAAAAGAATGATAGCATTAACATTAAAGTATTTTGTGCTTACATTTTGTTTTCCATAATTTCTCATTGCACATTTTTTGTGCAGTGGTTATAATTTTAACGTCATTATGGACTTAAGATTTTCAAGATTTCAATTATTTAAATTATTTTTACATTTTACATTTTCAGCATCAGTAAATTCAAATTCAAAATGCTTCTCGCAACAGTCCCAAAACTGTAAAGCCCTTCCAAAAAGATAACTCTTCTTTTCGTTTAAATAATTAAAAAAATGGCAACGTATTTATTTGGCAACGTATTAAAATTGATATTCCAATTGAACTGATCGATATTCGATATTTTTGCAAATACAAGTAATCGAACGTCACCATTCATCGAAGTTGTGTAGAAGACGCGACTAGCTGTTAGAAAAGATTCAATTTGGTCAAAATAAGCTTCTTTTCTTTCACATAATTAAAAAATGGCAACGTATTTAAATTGATATGGCAACGTATTTAAATTGATATTAGAATTCAACTGATCGATATTCGATATTGTTGCATATACCAAAGTCATCGAACGTCTCAATTCATCGAAAGTTGTCTAAAAAACGGCGAATAGTTATAAAAGACTTAGTTTGGTTAAAATAAGCTTTAATGGTTAAAATAAACTTTAATTAACAAAATCACATAATATTGTATCACTAATATCACAGGTGATTCACAATCATTCAAATCCAGATCGCAGGATAACTATTTCCTGCCCGCTATCACATTCTGCATCCAGGCAACGTATTTACTGACACGCGTATATATTCCCGGCAAACCGGGGCGAGCACATCCAATTCCAGTGGACACCACGCCCACCAGCTGATGCTCCTTGGACATCAGTGGGCCGCCGGAATCCGCCTGTAAAGGTAAGTAAACCCAAAGCATAACATTTGTGCTGTATCATCCAATGGATTACTCACCCAACACGAATCAATCTGACCGTTCTCATAACCTGCACACAATTGTGTCTCCCCGATGGTGTTACTTTTCCCCAATGACCTGTACGACCTTTGGCACGCCTCGTTGTTCCAGATCTTTACCGTGGCCTTGCGCAGAACGTCGGATCGGTCGTTCTCCGCTTGGTTCTCGTGGGTCCAACCCCAACCGGAAACCGTTCCGTACTCCTGCTCCAAGCTCCGGTGTCCTTCGTCTGATCCCACACAGCTGGGCTGGACGTGGGCGGAGAAACGGACCGGCTGCACCAGTTCCAGCAGTGCTGTATAAAAATAATATTTTACAAATTGCAAAGGTCCGATTTTTTATTTTTACTGAATTAGCTTGAGTTCGCCAAAAAATTTTAACCTGAGTGTTATTTTCTACTATTAAAATAAGAAAAATCTTAAAAATTAAAGTTTTTTCATTAAACGCTTTGAGTTTAGACTTTTTCCTTACAAATGAAACAAAAAACATTTGTTGTATTTTGTAGAAAAAATTTCATTTGTCAATATGTGCAGAAAAGTAGTAGTCCAATTTTGTTTAGCACACAATTTACAATATTTGCAGAAAAGTAGGTGCATAAGTTTAAATTTAAATTATCAGTTTGATATAACAAATAATAACCTACTTACCAGTACTTTAATTTGGTCATATAAAAAAGTTAAATCGGTATGTTGAGCCAACGTACTTATTGTATTTTTGCAGCTCATTACATAAAATGTTAGCAGCGGAAGGATTTTACCCCTTTTTTTTGCAATTTACTATAATCACTTTGGAGCCGTTCGACCATTTTATTTTAAAAATTAGAACCAAAATCACGTGTAGAACACATACCTATATCATGTTTCACATCGTTACAGTCGTACTGCGGATGAGGCACTAGATTCTTGAAGTCCACCCTCAGAGCATCTGGGCCATTGCCAATTCCGTTGAGATATTCTTTGATGCTGTGCAGACCAACGACTCCTTGGATCTGAGCGGGTTTCATGAACTGCTGCAACCCATTGCAGATGCAATGTCCTGCTGTTAGAATCCATCGCTCTGAGATTATTGTGCCACCACAAAAGTGACCACCGCGACGCATTAGACTGACCATAAAGGGCATTTCGTTGCGTTCCGCCTCGCTGCCACCCACTATTTTTGGATTTCGAACCGAGCAAGGCTGATTGGTAACTATCATGGGAATCAGTGGAATATTATTTCAGGTGAGTTCTCAAAGAGTTAATCTGATGTGTTGACACCTTTTTTCTATGGATAACCATTTATCAGACTTTTTTTAATCTCTTAAATATTTTAAATTATTATTTAATGTTAACAATTTCATAAAGCCTGATCTAACGGATAATCATTTCAAGTGGTAAGTTTTGGGCAACATTATCTGCAATTTTAATTTAAAATTCATTTTGAGTTTTATAGAACCCAGAATTATTTAACAAAATAAACATTTGACAACGAAGTATAATTATTATTTTAGAAACTCCGACCTCACTTTCTATGTTTCATTTTAAGAAATAACTTTGTTAAGAACACATCATATAGAGTTTTTGTTACATGCGTTCTGTCAACTCACAAGCAATTTGGGACCGTCCACATTTCACTAGCGACAGAATCGCGATCACGAATAAGAGTTTAAACATTTTCTGTGTACACAACTAGAGTTCTGAGCACCAAAAACCCGCTAAGCACGGTTCAAGCTTAAACGAAACTGCCACAAATATTCTGTGCGCCAATTAATTTATATATAGGTGTCTAGGCGTCGTCTCTGTTCCACTGACTTATTTTATTTTCGTCTGGTGTTCTATGCGGATTAGCCGGAAAGCTCCACTCTCTGTCGCTCTCTTGGCCTGATAACAAACGGAAGTCGGGCATTTAGCACCTGTTGCCTTAAACGGCGAGCTTTTTTCCACGCTGCACTACCTGTCCCATCGTTTTGTGTGGGTGTCATGTGCACACATTTCGGCATTTCAATTGGCTCGTCGGCAGAATTAAGGAGCTGCCAAAAAATCGAAAAACGAAACCAAAAGATAAACAATAGCCGAAAATAAAGTTTTGTATGTTTTGCGTTTTATGACCCAACGAAGTTCATGACATTGAAAAGTGTACGACAAAAGGTGTGACAATATTTATGCTGAATTTTTGTTGACACCTCTATAGGGGGGTTGGCGCTCAGTTTATTGCCCCATTATCCTTATTTAAGTCTTTTATTTGTGCAATTAATGACACGTATTTAAGGTCTTATTGAGATTGTTGTGTGATTAATAACGAAATGGAGAAAATATGGATACGTTTAATTTAATCGTAAAATCAGTTGTTAATCATATAGTACACCATTGCATAATAATTGTACTCAGATTTCACGTAAAATATTAACTTTAAATTTATTCACCTAAAATTAAAATTTCCATTACCTATAAAATGCACTTTAAAACTCTAGCTAGTTCTTTAATAAACTAGATATTTTTGTATTTCATAAAAGGGGATAAATCTTTTCTTAACTATTCTTTCCAAAACGAAACATTTTCTAGACCCTGGAACCTTCGTTAATTGTAGTAATCGTTATAGTTTTGTCATTGCCTGCATTTGGCATAAGTTCTCACATTGTAAGTAACCTTAGACGTCATATTTCCATCAGCAGCTGGACTGGGTAATCATCGGCACTATTATGCAAATGAAGATGTCTGCGTTGCATATGAATATCGTGATGGGACCTAAAATTAATTGAAATTCAATGTCGGTACAATCAATGTAATATTAGCCGGTTTGACATTAACATTGCCCTTAAAATTAACGCAATCGTGGCTCAAACATTCAATGCAATTGGCGACATGGAGAGGTTGCTGTGTAACCCTCATTTATCTTGGCAATTCATGCAGGTGGAAGTGAAATTCTCCGTTATTTAATAATTATTAAGTCTGAATAAGGAATTGAAATAAGCAAACAGGAATTGAAACTGAAAGTTAAGGGGAAAAAGAGTATGACAAATCCATAAATTATTCATTATCTAGAATCTTGATTCTCAGTCAGAGCAGACAAATCAGTTCAGTAGATCACGCAAATACATTCGCTTGAATACTAATTGATTTCTTGACTTTGGTTCCTTAACCGAAAACCAGATACCATCCCATCCGAGTTCATTGATCGCGGCAAGCTGTTTCTATTCAGTTTCGCACTAAATGCTAATTCCAAAAACAAATCTCCTATAAAAACACTATTCATTGTCTGCCGTTGACATATACCAAATATAAATAATAATAACAAACACGAGTGCGGGGCTCCACAGAAACAAGTTTCAAGTGCATTGACACAAGCTTTTGGCCAAAACTTAGGCGCATTCAATGTGAAGGTCGCTTCGATTTTCTGGTACTTTTGTTTGACAATTGTTTTTGCTACACTTTTGTTTTCATTTTACCGAAGTTCAACGACGCTATTTTTGGTGACTAATTGCAAGGGGGAAGTCTTTGGTTGTCGTTAATGCGGGTGAGCTTAGAGCTATAGGAAATGTTTTGGGGCACACTGAACCCATCAATCTACACAGGTACACATTGTTTAAGTAGCGTTTGTTATTATTAAAAATGTATTTTATATTTCGAATAATTATAGTTAGTTTGACTGCTAGTGATGGAAAGTATTTAAAAAGTATAGATTTGAAAGGAAATAATATAATTCAGATATTAAATTTTTGTAATCCTTTTTTTATCTCAACATTAATTTGAGTTATGCTTATTATCTTGTAGAAAAATGTTGTTCATATACTTTAGAAGAAATGTTCATGAAATAATCAAATATCTTTTGCCTATGTTCATATAAAATTGTTACTCTAAAATTATTTCATATAAATACCCAATGCGCTATTTAAAAAACTTATCAAATCTTAAATAAATTAAAAGTAAATTGGACTTATTTTACATTAAGTGATTGAATTGTTTCCTTTAAATAATCATAAAAAGCTAATATATTTTTGTATTTAAATTGTTTCTGTCTTAAATTTAGTTAAGTACTTAATCTATAACAAATAAGATTAATGTTCACTTACCATCTCGTTTAAATCACAAAACGTTGTAAGGATCACTTATTTGGTTTCAATTATTGCTCGAAAGCCAACTGTAAGTATAAAGGGCTTTCTGAGCAACAATCAAAATTATATAAGTGTCCGTTCAGGAACTCTTATATAAAGCAACCAAACTTAGCCAAAAGGTAAACACAATTTTGTAAGTCACAATGCACAAGTTGGGGGACTTATTCAAGGCAGGCCAACACGTCTGCTCGGTGTGAGAGCCGCACCGGAACTGCAATACCGTTGTCCAGGCGCTGACGTTGTATCCTTGTGATCCTGTCGAAAGTGGCCACGCAACACGAAGTGCCATCGCGAACCGAGCGGAAGCCAACAAGGAAGCAACATCCCTCGTTGTCGGCGGCTTTTGTCCTTTGGGCCTATGCGGCGTATGCGTGTTATGCAAACGACGGCAGCTCGGCTTTCGCTCGGCATCCTTTTTACAGGCAACCAATGAGCGTTCTGGGCCTTGTTTTTGTTGCCTTGCGGAAACACTATTCTCTGTTGCGCAAGCGTAAATTATGTAAAATTTTGAATTTTTACTTATAGTTAGTTTTGCGGTTTACAGCTGAAACGCCCCTAAAGTTGGTTTTTTTTAATCTATTTTCAGCTAATTTAAACAGTTTTTAATTGTTTAAATGGTTTTCATTGAGTGCATTTTTATGCAGGTTGACTAATAAATGTAAGGATGCAAAAAAAAGGGGATATGAAAGCTTCCCAAAGTTTTCTGCATAAGATTATATAGAGTGTAGGATTTTGTACAATTTTATTAACTTTTGTGTCCAACTCTTATGTTAATCAATACTACTGAATTCATAGTTTTTAACTGTTGGGCTCATTTGAGAAGCTGGTAAAAATATAATAAATTGTTTTAGCAAGCAGATAGAGGTTATTATTTTAATTTTTTTAAGTTTAAGACATATTTTTTTAAGCTTGAAATTTAAAAATAAAACACAGGTAAAAATAATATTTAATTCGCAATGATAATTTATTGGTGGCATAATTAATGGTTAGAATTTAGTAAAATCTTGGATTGTTTTGCATAATTTTGGAGTGAAACGTACAAATTTTAAAATTAAAGTAAATTTACCTAGAAAACTTTTTGATATGCGGGTCGAATGGTTTTTTTTTTAAAGCATTAACGTTATAGAATGAGGCTTTAGTTTTTCTAGTTCTGCCGATATCTAGATAACTTTCCTATTTTTTGGTAATAGATTTTGAAATGCGTTTTGCTTTCTTTAATCGGCGGGTATAAAAAACATATGTGATATTTCCCTTCACATTTAAGCTTTAAGATGGCAATCCCTTGACGATATCCCTTATCAATTTATTCAGCCCCACCGCTCTTCAATTATTTGCAAACAGCCGCAACTAAAACACAATCAACACATTCGCAAACTAAATTTCCATGGGCTGACATTTACATTTTATTTGGCAAATTGTGATTGACAATCTGTTGACACGCTTTTAAGAGGCCGAGGGCTGAATAGATAACCGAGAGATAGTCCCACTTAACCCCTTTCGCGGCTGGGAGATTTTTCGCAATTAAATATTGAAGCCAACACACGGGCACAACAAGTAACATTGCAAAGAACCGGGAAATGCAGCGATTGCAACCGAAGTGCATCAAATATGCTGTCTAAATTATTTATGCAGTTGTTCTGGAGGCGAGGCCTTGGCAACATTTCAATATGCTAATTACTTTCTGACTTCGCCGGGGATGTGGCAAAACAAATGCAAGTGGGCGCCACCGCCGAAAGGAAAGGTAGAGCAAGTGCTAATCATTGCAAGATGCCTGCCACGATTTCCCAGGTGAATGCAAGTTGTTCTGTAACAAATGCCAAAATCCATCGAAGGCGACACTTCAACCGAAAGAAACAGCGAAGCATAGGCAGGGAATGGAAAATGTGTCTAAAATTTGGAGAAGGAAACTTCACAGACCCAACATCATGCGCAAAACCCTTATCCATCTATTCCGCGGCATTGTTTTTGCGTGACAATTGGGCCAATTTATTATTCATTAGGTTAAAAAGTCACAGAGCAACACAACAGGAACTGAACCCAAACTGACAGCCAGCCAAGTCTCAGCCATTTGTAATGGCACGCCAAGTGGTGGCTTCCATCCGATTTCACCGGGCGGAAGGGATGTCTTGATGGATCCCGGAAAGCACTAGCATTTCAACAATTTAACCTGCAACTTTTCGGGGAAATTTTCTAATTGATTTGCTGGAAAAAATCTTGTTTACCTTTTTGCTTTCCCAACTTTCGGTTCAAGTTTAATTCAGACAGTTGCGGTTCGGTATTTTTTTGTTGGCTAATAAGATTGTGAACAGATAAACAATAAGAAACCAAAGTTTGGACATGAGACAAGGCTACTGTTTAAGAATTTGGTCAAGTTTTGTTTTCTAATAGTAAATTGCAGCGGAATCTAGATTCAACTGTACAAAATTAATTTTCGGGTAATTAGTAAGAGTTAGAAAGATGGGATTGTTAATTGTTAGATTTAAAATTTAATCATTTATTTAATTTATTAACTATATTTTTGTTAAACTTTAGAAAAATTGTTGCATGCGAAGAAAAAGGTAA